GCCCTCTCTCATTCTACCTCTCTTATTTCACTCCGCTTTAAATTGAGTTCCCTCCCGCTGCATATTTCCTCTTGCTGCACCGCTTTTCCTCCACACAGTCCGGCATTATATCCCGAGCTCCTAGAAAACATACTGGTGTAAAGTTCAAGAAAGAGACTGAAAAACAGATCATTCCCTGTACGTTCCCCTCATGTGGGAGCCATGTGAGGCTTGTTTTTACTGCTTTGCTCGTCCTTTGGTCACGTTAGGACATCTGTACCATTTGAAATCTTCAATTTGGTCAAAAATGGTCAGGTTATGTGGTTAAACCTTGAAAGAATGTTATAATTATCAAGGAATTAAAGTGGGAATGGCTGTAGCCGGGATGACCTTGGTTTGGACTGTCTGCCGCACACATACAGATTGGGACATTGTTTCAGGGCTTGCATTAGGACACTGTCAGATGGGGAGACTCCCTGCTAAAATAAAACAGATGTTTCTCATAGAGACATGTGCTTGTGCGTGCATCTGTTTTTCATTTGAACACTGAGCTCCTTCTGCTCTTCTGATCGTCTTCTTACTGGATAGATGTGTGTGTGAGTGTGTGACTTGTTGCATTCAAAATGTTTGCACAAGAAACCACTCGTGTTGGTGCTTGTGTGTTTCCAAACAAATCAATGATTGATTGTGAGATCTGATGCATTTCTGTTAGATTCTGTTTTTAAAAAACGCTTTATTTTCTCATATAGACTCATATTTGGCAGGATGTGATGATTGGTGGCTGCTAAGGCAATATTGTTCATATTTAGGGTTAATGATTTGAACAAACCACTAACCCTAATCTATGGTACGCAACTCTCTCCATACTTTTCTACATGGTCAGATTACAATTTACAATTTTTGTGTTGTATCCATGCTTAGAAATTCTAATGTTACATAAAACAATATATTTTTGAACTAACATTTTTTTTTTCATTTAAAAGTAACACTGTTGCTTTACAACAGCAACTTCACACTGATTTATTGTTTGACATATACCTGTTCACATTGCATAACATCCAAGTGCAAAGTGTCCTAGAGGAAGGAAAATGTCAATTCAAATATGTCCAAAAAGTACATTAGTTAGATATTGCAAAAGTAACGTTTATAGCTGTTGTACTGGCTGATTCCTCCCCTCTTGAGGGGCCCCGTAAAGTCTTCAACTGTTGGTGGTATGTGGTCATATTGACAGAGCATCAAAAGCAGAAGTGAAACCTGCCATGTGTACTCAGGACAGAGAGAGTAACAGTAAGAGTGGCCGCTTCTTTGAAACTTATCAATGATGAACACTTTCAGTTTTACTCAACCTGTTGTACCCAACCGTATCGTTTTTCTAAACATCGTTAGGTTTAAATTGTATAGCTAGCACTAATAACATCTGAGATTAAATCAATCTGTAACCTTCAAAGTATTCAATATTTTTATACTATAGTATGTATAGCAGTATATTAATAGTTAACATCAACTATGAATGAAGAATACTTTTACAGCATTTAGTAATCTTGGTTCATGTTCTTTACATATGAAAACATGTCCACTTTAGTATTTTTGTAAATTAACATTAACCAGGGAAAACATGAACCGATAAAATGTATACCTTAAATGCAAAGTAAGTGACTTTGGATACATTCTTTTGTCAAATGCATAAATATAAATATATAAATACAAACCAAGACAACTACTGTAAATGATTAAAAATAAATTCTGTTTAAAATTTAGCTTATTGTTAGTTATTAGTTAGTGATGCCGTATTTAAACGTAAAGTGTATATTTATATACTATTTTTAAAACAAATTCTCCGTGCATTAATGAAAAACAGCAAAGAAATATAAACCAAGATTAATAAATGTCTAAAAAAATTAATTATTGCTTGCTTATTGTTACCTGTTAGTTAATCATGCCTAATGCATTAATTAATGTTGATGTATTGAAACGTAAAGTGCATATTTGTATACATTTTTATGCTAATATTTATGCCCATTTTTCTTCATGCATCAATGCACTGAAAAACAGCAAAGAAAGTCAAATGTGTGCATACCCTGCTTTCTGACCCAGATGGTGAAATGATTGACTTATACTCTTATTTCCTACGTTTTCTGTAAGTTCAATGTTTGCACTTCTGTGTGCTTGAGGCCTGTTCAAATGCTTCCCACACTTTCTTATATGCAAAAGAGCAAGTTAACCAGCTAAAGAAGGATGAAGGTAGCTCAGTAACAGTCTCACAGGAAGAGGATTCTATCTGCTTCTGGTGAATTGGCCTTTTCCAGTGAGGTATCAGTTACAGTCTGTGACTCCAGATATGCCAGAGCATCAGTGGGTGATGTTCACTAGGACCCCTGAGGAGCAGCATTTTCACAGTTCAAAACTGTGACTATCACCGATTTACAGGCAAACCTCCCCCTTCCCCACCACACACACCACGCGCCTCTAAGCAAAAAATTAGGCCACCACTTGTGTTGCAATGCTTGATTGCCTGCAGAGAACAGTGTTAGGTGGTGTCTTGTTATCTTCTTTCTCTTCCTGCACTGGTGGCCCTCACTGAAGATGACTATATTATCAGGGGGAACAGCAAAACCACAATATGCCATTGTAAACCTCACTTTCAACACCTTGTGGTCGAACTGGATACGAAAATCTTCTGTCCATCCTGAGTCAAGCTAACTTGAGCTGAATCAGCGAGGTTAAAGTTCACAAGAAGCAAGAAGGGCCAAAGTCGGGATGGCTTACTATTTCTGCCATTTCTTTATATGGCGAAAATAGTAAGCTATTCCCAATTCAGGATGCTATTTTAAAACCAGTTACATCGTGGTACAAACATGGTCAAACTTTTTTAAGAAAGCATTTGCTAAGAAAAAAATATATATTTCAGCCAGTTATGCAAAAATGTATAAAACATTCTATACACAATCAAGATGGACACATTTTACAACCTTCTAACAGTCATAAATATGAAATAAGAAATAAAGCCAAAACATTTAGTCAATTTAATGTTATTCATTTATTTTTATTCTATGATGCTTTATGCTTTGCTTTGTCATTCTCATATTCACAAAAGCAAACGTGTGCAGTTATCCTTTTTAGAAACACCCCTTGCATGCGAGTAGGCTATTTATCATCATTGATGATTCATTTATTGTAGCTCACTTTAAAAAAGTAAACATTTTTACTTTGTGCATTTTTCTTTCATTATAACAAGTTTGAAGCATTCATTCAGAAAACAAAAATAAATGACATTCTACTCATTTTCTAATGGACAGTGAACTTGTTAACCAGATGAAAGTGTGTGAACGTGGTCTTTGGCTTATCTTTGGACGTCTGTCTAGACATGTTCTCTTTTATACAGTACTGATAAGAGGAAAAATAAACCTCATTAGAACGGTGTAAATGCCATGGCTTTAAAATTGCGACATTTCTTTAAGCTGTGCTGCTGATGAGGCAGTCTACCAAACAACGGGATTCTTTGTTGAATGAACACAAGCCATTTAAATTCCACCTCTAAAACATGTAGCTGGACAACATATGGAAGCTATTTTAGAGATAGCTAGACGCAATATGAATGAGTGTTGCAAGACATTTAAACAGTCTTGGACTACAAAATGCCTCCCATTGAGTTCAACAACCACACATTGCCACAACAAACCGCATGAAAGCTGGTCAAACGACAAACTTTCTCTAGGTCTATCCCAGACAAATCTGGCATATGACAGAATTACCTACAGTTGAAAGTTAAACATTTTTTTTTTTACTTTGTGTATATTTTGGAATGAGGTAGCATACTTCGTGTATATACAGACCTGATATAGCTATGTTGAGTGTAATGTGCATTGACTTATTACTAATGTTACATTTACTGAGCACTGCTCTCTCCTGTCTTTGTCAATTGTGCAATATTCATTTCATCTCATTTCATTAGTGGAATATATACAAATATTAAAAGCACTCTAGATCAAAGTGTGAACGACACACTAAAGGCCTGGTTCTAATATAGAAAGGTTAGATTATACGGGGCTGGCTGCTGAGAAGGGAAGTGAACTGAGCGATGTAGTAATGCTGTACATTTCTCTGGAGTTCACTAGGTCTTGGTACACTAGCCTCATTCAATGGCCTCTAGGTGGCAACATCTATGGACATTCAAAATACATGCAGTTCTGTCCATTTGAGTCACCACTGCTTATCAGTATTTACTTCTTTGCTCATTTACCTAATGTGTTATGCATCCTGAATTATCATTGAATTCAAAGTCAATCAGAATGGTTGCTTCTCAAATTTGAACCTATATATATATTTTTTTTTAGGTAGGCTATATATACATCATTTATATGATCATTTTCATTAAATACTGTTTTAAAGATCATTAGTGTGTTGGAAAGCCCTGAAAATCAAGTTGCACTTGAATGAGATTTTAAAAGTGCGAAACTCATTTTGTATCTTTAATATGAGATCATGAAAACGGCATGCATACCAATAATGGATAATAAGCGCTGTTTAAACAGTTTAAGAAGACGTAGAGCATATCACACTCTACAGTGAACGAGTATGAGAATTCTATTTCCCCTTTGTTGCATTCTGAGGTCAGTGGCTGCAGGGAATGCAGGATTCCGCCCATATGTTGAATTCGCGGGAGACTCATAAATCATTCCCGCCACCTAAGAAGGAGGGGTAACCTCTGCACGTGTTTAGCCAGATGCGATTCTTTTGTTACGTAACCAGCGCCTATATCTTCCTCATATGCCTTTTAGTCACTCTAAAATTCATATTGCTATCCCCTAAGTCGCGCGAGATCTGCTATAAGGAGTGTCTGTTTGAGAACACTAACGTTATGTCCTTGTATACATATATTACCCGCCAAAACAGACCACAGCACAACGTGATCGCAGCATTCTTTCTCTTTTTTATAGACACTACTATCGCTATTGCAAACCCGGCATTTGTGAACACTAGCACACGTGTGTGAGTTATAACCACCCTTCTCTTTCTTGGAATTGTACGGTTCATTGAGTGCAAGAGCGCTCCGCCGGGACACTAGGTCCGGCCTATATTCCCTTCATTCCTCCGCGGCTATTCAGTAGCTTTTCCGTGAAGGATTTTATTGCATATAAAGCTACAGACTATAATTAGGCATAATCACTATGAGAGTTTTCATTCAACATTTGTCGAATAAGTTTTGGCGCGAGTTACGCGGAGGAATTACGGCAGTACATCGGCCTTTAAAATTAAATGGTCTTTATCAGTCACCACAGACCACACCCACTGCCAGCTTCTGTCCGCGTGGGCTCCGACATGCCGCAAGGAGGATCTGCGGGTTTTCAACGTTTTTTTAAATAATTTTATAAACAGTTGTTTTAGATTGACCGACGGTTTCCATCGATTTTATTCGCCATAGTGTTTGGAAAAAAGGTAAGACTTGACTTTTTTTGTGTGCTTTCGTGCGCGTGGTCTGTCTACCGGCTTTTCCTCCATATGATGTTACAGCGTGAACCACTCGCTTACTTTTGCAGTGCATTACTCGTAAAGAAGTGTTGGAAAGTTTTTCCTTAAAGCTTTATGGATAACTTGTATGACTCTTGCTCCGCTATTTAATGCGCAATTATAAAATGCACAATTATTTTCATTCAAAGTCTGTTCTTTCACTCACACATCAATTTACCTGTATTGTGTACAGTGTGTATATATACAAGTATCAGCTTCGTTCTCTTTAAATAGTACTATTTTAAGAGTTTGATAATTCCTGCAGATATGAACATTGTTTTTTAAAATACTTTTAAGCCAGTTTTTCATCATAGCAATACTCGGAAACTTGTTTTTAGTAAAAAACACTTTAATTGATGCCACATGAATGTAGAAAAGAAGCATTTGAAGATATTGACGCAAGTAATATCAATGACAAAATAGTTTGACATGAATTGCAAATCCTTTGACAAACATGTTTGACCTCGTTTTTGGTTATTAGCGTTGAAAAATCAAATGTATGATTTAAAAATGTTTTTTTACGTGAAAATTTTGGAGTGGAACAAACCCCAGTGCGGGACCTTTCCAGCTGTTGAGTGACATCACTGGTACGGGCAGACTAGCCCCGCCTATCTGGGCGGAGTTACCATTGTAAACATTAATAAAAATGAGCGCGCGAGCCGGGAAACTTTACAATCGGCAGTGCATGAGAACAACACTTCGCAGGCCGCTTAGAAACAACCCGCGTTTACTTGATAGCTAAAAGCCGGGTGGACGCTTACTTGTGGATGCACGCTTTCTCTCATTTCAAAGGATTCATTTCTCGTGCGTTTCTCTGACAGGTTCCGCGAAGATGTTGCAGGCTTGTTCTCCATCGCACGATTGGTTCTGCGACTCCGAGCCGCTGCTGTTTGACGATGAGTTTTGCCTGAGTCTCATGAAGGACTTGCAGTCCATCCCCACGCCACCTCAGTCCCCTCCGATGAAAGCCGGGCTCGCAAAGAGTTTATCCACGGTGGATCAGCTGGAGTTAGTATCTGAACTTTTAATAGACGACAGCGACTTTCTCCAACTGGACTGGAACTTTACCGGCAGCGCTTCAGCAGCGGATTCGGATCCGCTCTCGGAGGACTGCCTGTGGCAAAGCGACAAACCGATCGAGGATAAACTCTCTGCGGTGCTCTCCACAAGTCCCTTGCTCTCCGATATTGACACTGAGATTTTTGCCGAAATCGCCGGCTCTACGCTGGACTGCCACAATGTGGCGCTCGCCTGTCAGGCTCTGGAGAGCGAGGGCTTACCGCTGGGCAGCCAGGAGCAGATCGAGTCCACGTCTGATTATGGCTCACTGTCCACTGGAGGAGAATCATCTACAAGCGATTCTGGTGAGTCTTTTGATTCATTTACCAAGTTTATTTTGCTATGATGGAAGTTAGTGTCTTAAAATTGGATTTTAAGTTTGCTCTAACTCCGTATTAACTGTTTTGCCATTATGTTTGTGCTCAACAGAGGAGGAGATTGATGTTGTGACTGTCCAGCGGTCGAACACACTGACGCGCTCTCAACACCAGCAGCAGTTGGAGGACAGTCGGCGTGAGCAGCAGCGTGCTCTGAAGCGCTGTCACTTAGAAATCCAACAACAGCACAACTACGCCGCCCCACGGCCCGCCTCTCCTCCGCCCCTGCCCTCCCCTTGTTCCACGCCCCTTCTCAAACGCTCCCGAGGGTCCGGAGACTCCCACCGAAGCGCTCCGAATACGGGACGCTCTCGCAGTCTAGCAGCCCGACAGGGGGCGGACACTGAGGACGAGGAAGAGAGACGGAGGACTCACAACGTGATGGAGAGACAAAGGCGCAACGAGTTAAAGAACTGCTTCCTTAGGCTACGGGACAACGTCCCTGAACTGTCCAATAACGACAAGGCGTCCAAGGTGGTGATTTTAAAGCGGGCTAAAGAAAGCATCAGAAATCTGGAAACGGAGAACCAGAGACTAAAGCAGAAGAGAGAGAAACTTCGAGAACGACAAGAACAGCTGAAAGCCAGACTGGAGCAGCTCAAGAGGTTGTGAGGGTCTGGGACTAAACAATGCCAGTTTGGTCACTAGATAGTGGTCTGGGACCCTGCTGGTTTGAGGACTGTGACACTTGTGATTGACTGTAAAGACTTTGATGTCTCTGAGGAGATTCTGGACCCCCCCCCCCACCATTAAGTTCCTTTTGGAAACACGCATGGTCAATGCAAGAAACGTTCTCAGTGTTGTGACTTTACGTTGTGCTAAAGTCATTTAGTTCTTAAATATGAACATGAACCTGTTTTGTATACTGTATGTTGATGTCTCTGAGGAGGTTCTGGACCCCCCCCCCACCATTAAGTTCCTTTTGGAAACACGCATGGTCAATGCAAGAAACGTTCTCAGTGTTGTGACTTTACGTTGTGCTAAAGTCATTTAGTTCTTAAATATGAACATGAACCTGTTTTGTATACTGTATGTTGGATGAATAATCAGTTAAACGTATAGTTAGCCTTAAAAGAAACACCCTAGATCTGGGGTGGCGAACTCCGGTCCTGGAGAGCCGCAGCCCTGCAGAGTTCAGCTCCAACCCTAATTAAAACTCACCTGCCTGTAGCTTCCTCGTAACCCTTCAGACCTTGATTAGCTTGTTCAGGTGTGTTTGATTAGGGTTGAAGCAAAACTCTGCAGGGCTGCGGCTCTCCAGGACCGACGTTCGCCACCCCTGCCCTAGATGATCCTCACACATTCTACCTTTTTGTTCTTGGCATACACTTCTTATATTTTGGGCTGGATCCAAAGGATGTTAAAAATAAGGGGTTGAATGTAATTTGAGATGATTCCGTTTTTATAGACTAAAGTTTGCATTTGTTGATGTTCAGACTGGAAAGATAAACTATATTGGATTCATGTTCATGCATAGCTCGTATTGTTGAGGTCTGGAGTTATGGAGCATATTCATATTTGAATCGCACTATGTTTTGACTCCACGTGTCTTTACTTTGTCAGTTATTGTATGTTCCCTCCCATTTCTATGTTTATCTACCTCTACTAGGAAGAAGCCTGGCTATTTTATTGCCTTCATAATGGCAACTGTATAGATTTATTTTTTTTTTTTAAATGTAAATACCACCTGTTAATTATGTATTATAAATTATTTAGGCTTTTTCTTCTTGGTTCATTTGCAGGTTTTTGAAAAAAAAAAAAAAGTTCTGTTTATCTTCAACTGCACTTTGTTTTATAAAGTAATAAAGAATGAGCAAGATGACATGTTGTGTTTGGATCTTTTTACTGGCAGCATGCAGAAAATCACATCAGAACAACATCAACTTAAAGATTTCAAGGTGTGGTTTCTTGACAGGTGAAATTGTTGGCACACAGAGTTGCACAAGACTAAAACCTTTAAAGAAAAGCAGGAATGTTTGAGTGATGGAATTGGGGTCAAGGTGAGGGGGTGGCAGGGTTGACATTTTTTTTGAAAGTCTAAAGGGCCTGATTGTAGCGGGTCAATAAAACACTAGGAGTTACCAAATTGAAACACTGAGCACAAACTTGCCCCATATGAATCCCATAAATGAACCTATATGCATAAGCCTTGTTTTATAGTGAACCGAATTATGAAGCATAAACCATATATTTTAGTGTGACTGGTAAAAACGGTTCATTTGGTTTAATGTATTTCTTCATTTTCCACCATACGCCTCGAAGTTATGGTTATGAGGATCTGTCATTTCTCATTACATAATTTACAATTATCCGAATGAATATTTGAAAGTAGGGCTGCACGATTAATCGCATGCGATATTTAACGCGCATCTTGTCAGAAAGCCGGTTCTGTAATCA